CGCCTGAACGATCAAGAGTACATTCTCGCGTACGAGGATTGTGCCGTCTATATCGACAAGCATGGCGACGTAAGTCGTAGTGTCATTATGGAGTACTCGGGGAAGCAAAAGAAGGCCAAGGGCGCAACGATGTATGGAGAGCACCTTCTTCTATTCAACGACGACTACGTCGAAGTCCGCAACGCCGAGAATGGGCGATTGCGCCAAATCATTGCTGGTCGAGACGTACGGGTTCTGGACTACGGTATTAGAGGTCCCACCGGAGGCTTTTATAACACCAACGGATACGCCGCCCATCAGAACGGGGTCGACAGTGGGCAGGGTTCTAAAGGCACCGTCAAAATCGCCATGGCACACCCAGAAGTTTCTGGTCAGCAGATCGTTCTCGAGATGTTACTAAATAACGGGCATAAGGAGAAGTGAGCGCCCTGTTCAAGTCCACCACCCCGACGCACGGAAAGCGGTATCGGTACCTAGCAAGAGACGGGAATCCCTGATCCTAGCCCACCATCGGGCTGGGGCCGTCGGTAGATGGCCGATTTATGCTTATTCAAAGTTGGTTAATAATGATGGCAAGCTGGCACGTAGTCATTCGTTGCTTCCAGGGTGGAATATGGACTACTTTGCTGCCTTGTATATCGTGGGCTGATTTGGAGGCTGGAATACGACGTGACAAGAGATGAGGTTTGGAAAAAATGCAAGCGACGACGACCATGGCCGAACCAGGCGTTGGGCGTTTTGTTGGGTGCATATCCGGCGGCGAGGGCTCGCATATATGGGGTAGCTTGTAGCTTAGGTATGGCAAGATGGCCGCACATATACCCATTTTTTCTAACAAGAGTTGATGTTCTACTATATTATTGTCTCGTAGAAGTTTTTATTAGAAGCGTGCTTTTGCAAACCCTTCTTGTAGATACAAATAATACTCGCATATAACTAGGTAGAATATCTCCATATCAAGCTCGGATCCTTAGATTTTGTTTACCTGCTCAAGGTAGACAAGAAACGAGGCCAGTCGCGGAGTCATGTGTCCTCGAAGGCTCCTGTGCCTCGTTTTAGGCCAACCGGTGTCCGTAAGTAGTTAGCGGGCTCGAGCGCGCTGGGATATATTTTCTATACCATTTAACCATTGGGACCTATCCATTTCTTTCCTGGTTCCGTCCTTTGGATTGGTGAGCCTAAACCTGGTGTGCCGTTCTTTCCTATACACACAGATATACGCACACGTAGGTACTCGTACGATAATATACAGTATATAAAAGGGGCGTGTTAGGTATGTAGGTAGGTAGGTACCTTAGGTACTTATGTATACGACTGACCGGGAATAATAAGACGTGAAAACTTCCGTATCTGGATGTTGGGTTGCACAGACGCGCTGATTTCCAGGATGATAAAAAGGCTTGTAAGTTGTACGTACATACATATATTATTAGGTAAGCAATCATATGAGACATACATACATCAGGTATCCATCTCTGCCGTCATTACTGTGTATTCGTAAACAAATATTTATTTAGGAGATCAAGTATTACTTTACGACAAACAACATCTTTCATAGTAGTAGTACTACTATTTATACAAGTTCAAGACTCACTCCAACCTAAGGAATAATAATATCGCCTAGGAGAGAGAAAGGCGATAGATACTTTAACTTAGCTGCCGAGATTTCAATCAACACAACTGCCTGCACGATGTCGAACCTGGGCCGTATCCTACTTTCCATCGACGGCCTCTTGCTTTTATTAGGGGCCCCTATTGCGGATTATAGCCATACGCATATATTCAATCCGAACTGGCCACCTCATGCCAAGTAAGTGAGTTAGGTAGTTTACCTAGTTTACCTACATGACCTATCCCTCCGCTATGTACCTCTACCTCTACCTCTACCTCTACCTCTACCTTTCCCCCCTTCCTTCCTTCCTTCCTTCCTTCCTTTCTACATACCTAAGACCCCCCACCCCCGCCGCCACCGCCGCCGCGCTCCTAACAAAAAGAGATTAATGAACCTGGAACCAGATTCCACAACGGCCAAACAATCAACCTATCCCTCTTCCTCGGCCTAGCCACCATGTTCTACACGTGGCGAAGAGCCGATACACGGCGCTTACAGAGGGAATTCATGTTCTTCACCGCCTTTACGGGATCCATCTACTGGATCGCCGGATTGGCGGCCATCGCGTATCCGGGGACAATGGGTCTCGACCCGGAGTTTGGCGGTCCCGGGTTCCCGCAGGCGCCGCTTTTCGCCTTTGCCGCCGGTTGTGGGATTGTGGGGAGTTGGTTGAATGTGCATGTTCCTCCTGCTGGTGTTAAGGGGAAAGGCATGTAGGTTATTGTGATGAGAGGGGGAAAAGGGGAAAAGGGGAAAAGGGAGGTGTGGGTAGGTAATGGAAGGACCTGCACGCAGCTGCGCCTGAAGGATGGGAATTGTTCGAGTGTGATGGTAAAGGATGCGGCATGTGGGAAAAGGAAAGAATGGAGATGGAAAGACCCGGGGGAGAGGCCTTCCCAATACTAGATAATAAGGAGGGGAGAATCATGCCAAACTATACGATAGATATTGCGACCTACCTACTGGGTGCAATGAGCACTACCTAGATGAAGGGTTAAGAGATATCTCTTTCCCCAAACCCAACATGAAAAGCACTTTGAACTAACTACCTATAGAAACAACAGCATACCTTACCAACAACCACTTAAAGGTTAAACAAACAGACTATTCAGCGTTTCCCGTGATGCCATCAATCATCTAGAATATCATCATCCAGGCAGTGTCAGGGAGGGCTCATACCGCATGGGGTTTTTATTGCTCTTGTAGCAGTCGATTATAACCCCCTGAGTCATACATTCGACTATGCAAACCATGGTATTCCAACCCTTGGCCGTCTAGAATCCCTCCGGACTGATTGGAATAGGTGCCCGGAAACAATGACCAGCTGGCTGTCCGGGGTAAGACGACCAATATGATTCTCGCCTCTTAAAAAGCCGTGCGTGGAGGGAGAATGAGATTGAGTGGCGGACTAGAAGAGGTTAAGAGAACATCTCGTGTGGAAGGGATTCAAGTGCGCGTCGCCAGGAGTCTGATGAACATTGTGCCCAGTCCTATGTGTTGGTAGGTAAGTAACACTTGCCGTACATAGGAGTTAGGGAAAAGGGGGAGAGATAGGGATAGGACCTAGACCCGTTTCTTCTTTTTAAAAAAATTACTGCTACAAGCCTGACACTATAAAGTTGACCGACTCCTAACAGACATAGAGCTCGTCTGTTTATTTCTTAGGCAAGTTAGCCTACCTCGAGAAGGCTGTATATGCAAAAATATAGAGACTAGACTAATGTATGATCACGCAAAAAAAAAAGGGTCTGGCCGGGGATTGAACCCGGGACCTCTCGCAAGCAACAAAGGGTGAGCCCTAAGCGAGAATCATACCACTAGACCACCAGACCGATCATGAATCGTGACATTGTTGAATTTTCGCGAGGGTAAAGCGGGTAATCCATCTAGCTAGACGACTAGTCTGGTTGGGATGGATTTTGTTCGTGTTGAGTGGGAGAGCGGACATGTCACATGTATACTAGACTTGTATTCAGAGCTCGGGGAATATGTTGGATGCTGAATCATTTGAATACCTAGGCTTCCTGTTTGAACTTTCAAAACCACACAATACATGAGCGGGCTTTATGTTGGGTATATTCCGCTAGGTAAACCGACTGACTGCTTTACAAGGTAGGTCGGGTAAAGCAAGGTAGTCTTTTCCCTTCTACCCATTATCCAAATCATAAACAAGGCAGGAAAACCTGCGCTCGACAAATGATTTCTGGATAGCTCACTCGAGCCAAGGGAGAATGGGAAAGAACCACCATTTGAGAGAGCCTCAGTTTCAAATTCTTCATCATAGACTCCCTCGTAGCTGAAAAAGAACAGATACATTGTGTCAAGACATTTCCCCCCGCTGTCCCACCACTTCAGTCCATACACTCTTTCATTGTAAACTCGCTCGAAAGCTGTTAACTCAAGGTTAGGTAGGTGGTAAGTGAGTAAGTGGTTTTGGAATGGGCGGAATGGGATGGGGATGGGGCTTTTATAGAGTAGGTACCTTAGGTAGAGGGAGAAGGCGAAGAGGGGCCGGTTGCAACTTACGTGTACGTGTCCAGTACCTACATACCTACCTTACCTGCCGCAATACGTGACGCGTAGGTATTTAAGTCTCGGAAGGAATAGCGAGGTAGGTACGTAGGTTACGGCCGTATATCTAGAGGAGGCAACTACCTTAGCAAGGTCATCGCGGTCCTAGGAACAGGTAAGTACCTTACCTAGGTAGATCCGGTATCATGGCATGGTACCCCTATTATATGAGATATGGGATTTGATCAAACAACAACATGGTGATATATATTCGTCGCACGGGTGAGGATTGCATTTATTTATTGTGTCTAACTACCTAACATAGCTCTCTTAAGTAATAACTTGGTGACCCCTCGGCCATGTTTTCTAATAATATACTCCTTTCTTATCATTCATTAGGAATGTCATTCTACGACGGCGACGTATAAAACCTGGACGAACCTGATTGATAAAAGTGCTTAGCCTATATAATTGTCTCCGACGGTTTGTCCGGACAAAAAGCACATACTTCGCCGGCCTTAGTATGTCCGCTTGTCCGGAACACCCCAAATCGTAGTTTCGGGACAAAGCGGGCGAGTCACACATTATACCGCCGCCGGGGGTCCTCCTTGTAAAGTCCGAACCGACCGGATCGGAGACACGTCTAGTCGGACATCGTATTCAGTATAAAGTTTGATTTTGGACACCGTCTACTAAAACCGTACATTTTGGCTTTTGTGTTTTTATTGGACTAGCCTCCCAGGATGTCCCATATACATATCTCTCAAAAAAGCGAAAGAGTAAAGGAAAGAAAAGGCCTTCGCAGTGGTCTGGGGTGGCGAGTCCAATCTGTCACTGGTATACATACAGACACATGCGAGATGGTTTCCATTACAAATCCGAATTGGTGTAGTGGCTAACATTTGACGCTCTCATAAACATGAACCGTCAAGCCCGGGGTTCGATTCCCCGATTCGGAGGATTTTCTTCTTTTTTTCTTTTTGTAACGATTTATTTATGTAGGTTGCGGTATTCATCCCCCTTTCTTTGCCTTTTCCCTCTCTACGGATACCTATTCAGAAGTCTTTTTGGTCGGGTAGCATTCATCCTAACCGTAACTTGCAACCATCATGTACACTGACGTCAGCGCACCCGGAGGTTGCCAACGACGTCTTATCCGTCACCAGCCGACAGTTGAGTTGGCAGAGGGCTAAAGGAAGGAGTGCAGCGTATAAACACACAAAAGCCGGCCTGTCAAACTCGAAAACCGACCATTATATTCCATGAATATTGCAGCTCTGACCAACATATTGCGCGCTATCTACTCATTATAGCCTATACGCAATGGCGCTATTACCGCCCCTTTTACGTCGCAAATCGGCCCCGTGTGGATACGACCTAAATAAATAGATAGCATATGATAACAGATCTGCCGCGGAATGCGACTCTCCAACAACTCGCATGATCGATCCCACGTGAGGATACCGAATTAGCTGAGCTTCTTGGTCATGAAGCCGGCAAGCTCGTCGAGGAGATCTACAGTCTCTGCGGGGCTGGCGATCCAGGCTGTAGTCGCTACGCTCCGGGCTTTGAAGTCGTTGCTGCCCGCGCTGAGGAACTGATCGCCGACGTGCAAGGTCTCCTCAGGCCTGATCGGCGTGGGGTCGGCCCCGTGCTTCCTAGCAAACCATGTCTGACACACGGAAACACCCCAGCTCTTGTCGCCAATGTCGACAAACACGTCGCGGCCTCCGTTGAAGGCGCAGAAGGGCACTACCTTGTTGTGACGATCGCTGCCGCCCACGTTGAGCTCGAGAATCTTTTGTACCACGAGTACCGTCTCCTCGAGCGACTCGCGCGGGATGCGCACATTCGGGTCGCTAGCGATAATACCTACCGCTCTGTCCTTGCGCATAATGGTCGCCGGCAGATTCATTGTCTTGATGCAGTCGCGAAATGCGGCCTCGGCAACATCTAGCAAGGCTGTTATGCTCGCATCGGACCAGGTAGCCATTTCAGGCGTCAGCCACTGCTTCGTGGGCACCGGGGACAGTAGCTCGGGGGCTGAAGGATTGTATTCGAAGAGATAATTCGCCTCTCCACCCATAATAACGATGTTATGTCTCTGCTGGGGGGTGAGGCGGGTCGACTCGGAGATGGCATCCAATAACCCGTGGAGGCGCCCGTAGTATTTGTCTGCGGTTGTGTATCCCGCAGCCGTCACGATGCCGACCTTGACGTTCTTGACAAGTAGATCGATTATACGTGGTATGATGGGATTGTTGGGCTCTAGACTCTGACCGTCATCGTACAAGGTGACATCTCCATCGAAGGTGGCTAGCTGGAGGGTGCTTTGTGTAGTAATAGCCATAAGTTGGGCCGAGTTTAAGATGAGGCGGACGTCGTTGAAAGACGGTGAGACGAACCGCCTCGACGAGATGTAACGTTTACGGTCCTGGAATTTGAATGCGGCTTCAAGCGGAAGCCTGGTAAAGAAGTTGCCTATCGGCGGCACTAAAAGCTTCAGTTTCGAGGGTATATTGTGTAGATTGGCCTGGTGTGCGACTACGAAAGCGTGAGTAAGAGTATCGTTGAGGCTGGAAGTATGTTTGAAATCCTACTGTGGTCATTGATGAGGACCTCGACATCTCTCATAATCTCAGCATAACGTCTATGCGCCTCCTCTGACATTTGCGCGATGCTGATGCCATTGGGCTCAAACACCCCGGTTGGTTGAGAATAAAGTACGAAAGGGACTGCGAGTAACCCCTTGATCCATTCTGGCGACTTGTCAGTACGAAAGCCTTTACAACTCTACTACCATGAATAAGATGGGAGTTTGAATACTACAAAGATTTAATCACTTCTCCCCCCCCTGCATCGAGCCTCATCTTGGACAAGAAAATAACACCGGTGGTGATTCCTTGGGATGGCCAAGCCCGAATAGTTCAGGAGAGGGGCCAGTTCCATACATGATGTTGAGTTGAGTTGAGGCTACTAGGCACTCTCGCATACAGGTCAAACTATAGGGGGTTGGGTCGTGCCCCGGTACGGAAAACGATAAAGAAGTTGTGGAATACCTATAAATTGATCTCTTCGGTGGGTTTTAAGGGCATCTAAACACGATAACTTGTCAGATCACGGGCAAAACCACCATCGTGACACGTACCGATCAATTGGGCGTCGATGGGGAGTTGGGGCTAATGGGGGTAAGCCGGAGCGGGGAGGCCCAAGCATCAAGTAACTCACATTCCACTCTATAGCGTGTCGTCATTGCGTCGTTTTTGAAGTTATTTTGGTTGTATATGGGTAATTAAACGAAAGGAAGGATCCCGATGGTTGACGACGGGGATATTAACTATTATACTTGATATCAAAAGAACACAGTTGTCGTGGGTGAGGATGACGATGTAGAAGACATGTTCGACCGATTGCTTGAGCTACCTAAGGTTAGGGGTTGTACCGAGCAGATAGGCTAACAGCGGCTTCGGGGGGGCATGATACCTTAGGCTAGCCCAATCTACTCCACCAAGACGGCCTAAAGACTGCCCTGACCGCTCTAGGCCCAGCCAAGTCAAACCTCCCGTAGGGGCTGTAAACACTATTGATGCGTTGCAGGCACAACGCTAACCACAGTTTCACGATAGTATCAAACATTGTTGTGCTTCCATGTTCTCCCTGGTTTGTCGGTGACCTATAAAAACCGTATTGGACGAGCTGATAGCAGGATGCGGTCGGTCTTACAAGAACACTGATTATTGTTGACTCACCGACAGATATAAGAACCAAGCGGTGCGATGACGGACGGAGAAGGCGCACTAGGTATACTTGTGCAGCCGGAAAGAACGATGATTCAAACACGGCACTGGCCGCATTTCTCCTTGCTAATACCCGCCGAGGACAAAAGCCTCGACGTTCCCCAACGTATAGGTGCCGAGTTTCACGGTAGTTTTGATACTAAAACCCATAGTGCCAGCCTTTCCCGTCCGCTATGATCGAGTTTTCAGATTAGCTTGCTCGGTAACCAGGACTCAGTAAAGCTGGGAGTAGGCGATTGCAATCATCGGGCAGTCAAGACATCGCTTTCCCGTGGCTGATTTTGTATTGCTCCCGCAGTGGTTTTATTGGGTAGAAACCAGTAACTTGCCAGGAGAGAGTATTGTCGAGAGAATACAAGAGCTATACCTCAAGGGCCTCGGTTATCTCAGTCATCTCAGTCATCTCCGGGCCAGCAATGGACAGCAAGCCCCATGCCTTTACCGAACCCGGCCGCTTCAATACTAGGAATCTCTTTTCTCACCGATGGGCTCACATGACATATGTGGATTGATGGCCAAGGTTCTGGACCTCTAGGTGCTATGAATCCAGGTCTCTATCCTAACCTAGGTTGGGTCTCACCTGGAAGTGGTCATGGGCTGCACAGAGGTGTATCATGAACCCACACTTCATATCCGTCACAGCAAACACAGCTTTAGCCGATATATTACATGAAGTAACATGTCATTTGCTTCTACATCGACATGTTTGATAGAGCAGCCCGTATGGATGTACGGTTACAAGGTTCCTTACCATACTGCCTTATGAGGAGCACATCAGGGGCAGCTGGTCAAGCCTTTTATAAGGCCTTCGTACGCAGGTGTGACGAGGACCGCCCTGCTCTTTCTGCCCAGGGCCGAAAGACATTGATTGCCTGGTCAAGATAGAACATCGTGTGATGCTTGAGCCGTACCACCCTCATGCGGCTCTCCCTGGAGTTCAAGACGTGATAAGTATACATGATACCACCTTATACTCATGCCTTTGGGAGATCAACGTCTGATTCTGATCGTCTAACCCGGGTTCCGACACAGACATATCCACTCTCAATAATTCACCTTTGTGGTATGTACATTAACATACAGTCAAGAACCGTTCTATTCGTACCGGTAGGCGAAAGGACGTAACAGGATTCTGAAGTCTTCGGGTTGTTTACATAGCAACATCAAGACACATGTCCACTCTTGTCAAGTTCTTTTTTCATATATCTTACATCGTAGACGCTGACCTTCTTCTAGAGTATTAACAGGACATCGAATACACCCAAGATGTTCAAGAAGGGAGTCCTTGGGGAGCTTTCAAACGTGCTTTGCCTAGTCAACAACCGACATGTTAGAGCGATTCCTGACAGACAGCCGACAGCGACCAGGACTCAGTTCTTCGCACTTATAGATTCGCCAAGCCGAATTGTTTACATGTTATACCATGCAGGACAACGGAAAACTCGCATATTCGCGTCTCCCTTCCTATAGCTACACGTATATCCCCCGCACGGTAACAAGGAACATAACACAAGACACTTCATCTTTATGAACGCCTCCGAATAAACTCACGTAATAAAGAATATTTCCATATGATTTGGATCTACATCACTCCATTAGCTATGGCAGGCTTACATTGGGGAGGAATTGTCAACTTATGAAAGCAGCTTCGAGAACTGATCAGCATAGGCTTTTGCCCATGAGATTTTGATGAATGGATATTAACCCGGTCGTATAGGATCATGCCTGGACGGCCTCCTTATGAGATGGATTCATGACTAACCATGCCAATGAAGTAGGTACCTACATATTTGATGTCTTCAAAGTAAGAGTCAAGTGTCAGGTAATCATCAACACTTACATGACAAGATACCGTCTCCTACCACGGGTGCCGGCCAAAGTCAACACCCTGACTCCCATTGTGGCTCATAAGGGTTGATTCAAAGCAAGGCCGAACCATACCTACCTAGATGCTATTCAGAACAATATTTTCTGGTAAAAAGATAAGAAAAAGAGGACGATACTATCAAAGTCGGCTCGGCCATCCACACAGCGCATCTCAAAAAACAAAAAGGGGAGTCATGACTCGTATGTATGCATCAGCCGTGAATCGAACACGGGGCCCATCGATGGCAACGATGGATTTTACCACTAAACCACTGATGCTTTTTCTTGGTTCTATA